GCACACCAATATTCACATTATAACCCATATCCACTAATCACAAGATGTTAGTTAAACAGTTCCATATGTTAAAGCTTTCAAGATTGAGGGGTTACTCAAGCATTATTCCAAACAGGTAATGATTGTATGCAAGTTGGAGTACTGCATGATAATAAAGGAGCCGTTCATAAGCACAGCAAATGTTCTGCGTCATATCTTCAAAGTTACACCTCTGTACAAGAACATAAATGCAACTGTTTGTAAGTTAGACATTTGTAAATTGGGGAACCCCTATGAAGAGGCAAAACTAGAACTTACTGGGCAGCAAATAGAATATGAATTTAGGTCAACTTATTACAACAAAATTCTCAAATTACTATCAAGCAGCCAGCCATTTTCTTTAACAGTGAGAAAGTAGCAACATGAAGCCCAATAACCTGCAAGAGAAAGCACTACAGCAGACTTTAGCATCCATTGCTATTTCAATAAACCAGTTTGTACCGGAATGAAGCAATAATTGACAAGGTGAATTTAAAAAAGGTTAACAAAAATGTAGCTAAAGTAAAGTTAAGCTCATGAAAGAACCACTTAAAAATACAAGATTAAGGCCAAGTTAAGTGTTGTTCAGAGTAAAAATATTAACTGAATCAGTGCTTTAGGAAAATATTAGGCAAGCTTAAGGACTTGCTAGTCAGTGGTTTTGCTGCATCATTGTCTATATTTACTAATTAAAGTCACTAATTAGGTGAAGGCAGATTTTAATACAAAAAATCTGATTCAGTTCCCTAAAGTTTAATCATGTTTCTGTATTAACTGCAGTCACACTCAGAACAGCTCTAGGCTGTCTAATGGGTGGCTTTTTCCAAGCCTGCTGAATTTTCAACTTCAAAGTAGAGCAAAATTTACAAACCTCAACCTTTGTTTTGAAAGCACACCAAAATCAAGTAGGTACTGCTTGCATTTATTAAGCTTTGTAGATTTGCTGGAACATTCCAATAAAGCTCTAGTGTCAAAATACAACTTAGTTTAGCCTTTGGTCAGATGCCAACAGATACAAAATCAAATTACTGGAAAAAAACTGAGGGTTTGACAGTATCTGTGGAGAGAAAGCAGAGTTAATGTTTCAGTCCCAATGACCCTTCAGAATTTCAGAACGTTCTGCTGAGATCTATTGAGTTTTTATCAATTTTTGATTCCTAGCATCCAGAGTTTTTTTTTATTAAAAAAAGAGACCCAATAGATGTCTTGGTACCAGTGTAACAGCCACCCAAGAGTCCAATAATCAGGGTCTCAGTGAAAATGGAGACAGTGTAAATTTGAACACTTACCTTTAAGGGGAGAGCCATATGAAAAGCAACCTCCTAGCCCTAAAGTAATCCCTCATTTCGCTGGGCTGACGTTTCAGCTACTCAGGAGTAACTTGCATCTCCAAATACTCAAACTGGCCTTTTAGAAATTAGTATGACTTTTGAAAGGCAAAAGGTAACCATCAACATGGCAGCAGCAAAGCAGACAAATAGGAAAGTTCATTGCATAAATGCTTGTATCCAAAGACTGATCATTGATCATTAATTCATATGCAAGATGCTGAATGAAAGACCACATCCCAACATTTAAATCCATTGGAATGAAGGGGAAATAACCAACCATTTCCTGACAGCTTACAAACAAGATTTATATCAAGAATTAATGACACTGATGCTGAGCAGTTATTAAGTGCCTCCCATTAATGAGCATCTACTGATTCAAACTGATCATTTTAACAATTGTTTAGACTGGATCATTATTTGATAGCAAAATGCTTTCTGTCACCATTCAATAATGATTTGTAAAGTTCAAATGCTTTCTTGTACATTCACCTCTCCAAGCAATGCCTTGGAAACCCATTAAAAAACCAATCCAGAGGGAACTGTTTTCCTAAATAATGTTTTTGGAATCAATAATTTAGTAGATTCCAAGGGCTCAATAACAAAAAAGGTAAATCAAAAAGTCCAAAATTCCAGTAGCTAGTGAAACACCACTTCACTTCCAGTGCACAAAAAGAAATAGAACTCCATGCTCTCCCAAGTCATGGTGTGACACAGACAATGACATACGCAGGTGCAAACAAAAGATAGGTACATAAAAGTGGAGCCTCAATACCAATTCATCTTAGTCAGGGAGCAGGACGGAGGAATTTTTGCCTGTGTCCCAAGTAGAAACAACAGCAGAATAACAATCAACTGATATACCAGACTACAGAGATAAAATTAAAAAAGGAATGGTTCTTCAATTCAGCTTGTCTTTTTTTGGTTTTAAAAAAGGACTTTAAAAGTAAAAAAAGTATAGATTCAAAGTTCATTGAGGCAAGGAAACTATGAAATGATTTCAAAAACCAGGGGCCACTGTCATTGGAGTGGAGGCAGGTATTTATAAAAGAAAGGGTTTTGATGCCAAGGGTGGGGTAAGTTAGAGAAAGACAATTGTCTTTGATGAAGCATTACCTTGGGGCTGTAAATTAAGCAAAAAAATTAAGGAAATTCTTTAGAGCTGTAGCTCTGCCACTAGTATTTGTGGCAGAAAGTCTTTAAGCAGACATGGTGAATAATACAGTATCAACAGAAGTCAAAACTACAGGGAGTAATACAGATGAGCACTGTTCAGTTCAGAGTTAATTTACAACTGTACACAATGTTTATTAGCAAACAAAATTGCAAGTAGTTTTAATTTAACACAGATTTGCATTTAAGTCACTTATTACAATCTTAGAACTTGCACAAGGGCACATCCTCATGGTACAAAAGTATACTATTTGCTACCAATAAAAACAAAAACCAAGTATAATTTCATTGCAACAAAGCAAGACTCTTCCCATAATCCAGCTTGGGCAAACAAATAGGGTCTGATGGAACAAACTGACTCAGTTTTGATAAAGTCCCTCAGTTTATCTATATAAACTGATTCCACTGTACAATGCCAGCAAAAAAACAAAGTGGAAGGGTTAACATCAACATAACATTTTACAATTCTGATAAACTCTAGAAGAAAAAACAAACCTACAAATGGAAGTGTCTTTTAATTGTTGACATTTATTGCAGGGAAGCTGTCACTGATGCCCCAGAACCACTTTATGTACTAGCTGAAAACAAGTAGTATGACATTTGCTCAGAGTATGCCTTGCAATCAACTAAAACTTGAACCGTTTGGTCCCACACTCAATTAAGGGCATCAAAACAGCCTTCAAACAAACCTTTAAACATGATCGCCAGAAATTTTATAAAACATTAGCACCACTAATGTAGATCTCAAAATTTATGTACATACAGATATGAATTAGGCACAGAAGTCTCCATTCAGCATCTTGACCAGTTGTCAAGCAACAAGATAATGGGTGATTTGTGGGTTGCAATTCAACATTCCCATCTACCCTAATAACCTTAGATTCCTGTTGAGCAAGGGTATCTACCACCATCTTAAAAAGATTTAAAAGACACCACCTTCTCTGGCACAGAAATCTAATATCACAACAGTCAAGGGAAAAAAAATTCCCCTTAGTGTCTCCTGAAAGGGCAACCTTTAAATGTGTCCTCTAGTTCTGGACTCATCCAGAAGAGCAAACATGTCTTCCACATCAAAGGATTCAACAACATTCAAACAGTATTATCATAACTGGTTGATGAACTCTTGGCACATTTTGTTCTAGAGTACAAAAATTCCATGATTAAGCAGGCAAAAGATAAGTTTAAGTTCAAAACGATTTAACTATTTTTTGACCAAAACGTTCACAATTACTCGAATTAAAAGGACTTAGAGCCTGGAAAAGTTCTAAAACTGCATTTTATCGCTCTCCCTCACATTCCGATGAACAGGCGTGCATTTCGTTGCAAGTAAGGAGATAGCACGAACTGCCGATGCTGGAGTCAGTCAACAGCATGGAGATGGAGGTACACCACAGGTCAGGCAACATTAAAGGAGCAGAAAAGTCGACGTTTCGGGTTTACATCCTTCATCAGGATCGATAAAAAAAGGTGTAAACCCGAAATGTCGATTTTCATTGGAAGTAATACCAGAATTGCCGGTAACTTCACAGACTCATCGCTAGATGAACAGTGAAGACGGCACTAGCTGCTCATCTGAACCAAGAAAAAAAACTGACAGCTCATCTTCACCGAGCAAATAATAGTCAGGTTACGCACTCAACGCATTAACAGACGCGTCAAAGTCAGTTATCAGAGATAACAAGGTGTGGAGCTGGATGAACACAGCAGGCCAAGCAGCAGAGGAGCAGGATAGCTGACGTTTCGGGTCTAGACCCTTCTTCAGAAATGGGGTCTGAAGATTCTCCAGCATCGGCAGTTCCCACTACCTCTGCTCAGTCACATTTCGTGTGTATTTACTTTAAACATACAGAGAGGCGGAGCTGAAAAAAAAACCAAAAACAAAAGGGGGCGTAGGCTAGGATTAAGAAATTAATATAGTTGAGGTGCTTGCTTTGGCACGGTTTAACTAAATACATTTAGAAAAGGATTGGGGGAAAGAAACAGAGAGAAGAAATGTATTACAAACCACGTTGCGCAGTTAATATGCGATTCCTAGCTCATGAATTTGGAGCAAAAACAAATGTCTCGAAAAAAAGAAATCGCCTCCACGCTCTGCGCCGCACAGACACAAACTGGTCAGCACCCCCCCCCAAAATTGGTCGACATCAAGCTCGTAGCTTGATAAAAGAGCCCCATTCAGTGACGGGCGAGGTTTTTTCAATACGTCAGTGATTTCGTTTCAAATAAGCCGGGTGTGGTGTACGGTTAAAACAGTAAATACTGCGCGGGGAGCACTCCATATACAAGGGGGTGCTGTAAACCTGGCTAACCACGTCCTCCCTCCTCCCCACCCCCGCCAACAACAACCCGGACCCGCAGGCCTCAGGCCTACTACCATCCCCACAGATACACACAAATTTAAAACGTAAACATGCCATCAGTATCCAACGACACCAAGCAACACCACCTTAGAAAGCTACTCATGCTCCATAGGCACCACACCTTGGTCGACACCCAATCGCTGCATCTTTCACTCTGCGTACAGTCCCTTTTCTTTTAATCCTCTTGCCGACTCAATTAATGCCCACTCAACCACACGTGCTCGTCATCCCCCATATATAAAGACAGGCTTCGCAACCAAACTTGCATGCATGCCTCCGCCCAGCAGCCCATTTCTGATATGTCAATCTGATGAAACATCATAGGGATTTGCCCGTTGATTGGTTAAAGTGCACGTCCATCGGATTCCGTCAACGCCCTGCCCCGCCCCTCCGCCTACGGGCCCACCCGTCGATCTGAGGCGGTCAGCTTCGGAGCACTCGGAGAGCGAGAGGCCCTTTCGGAGGTGCGTATACGCTATGACCTTTTTTGCCCCCCCCACCAACCCGCGTGCAATCACGTGACGGCGCGGTCGTTGCTGGGAATTGAGACCAAGATGGCGGCTGCGGAAGGTAACTGCGGTCTAGGAGTTGCATGTGTTTGTGTGTTGGGGTGATCAGCGGACTGGACCCCATCTCCCCTCACCCCCCCCCCCCCCTTCAATATGTCTTACGTAGAAGATAGAAGCAGGAGGAGGCCATTTGGCTCTTCGAGCTTGGTCCGCCATTCTTCACGATCACGCCTGATCGTTTAACTCAGATAGTAGGAACTGCCGATGCTGGAGAATCTGAGATAACAAGGTGTAGGAGCTGGATGAACACAGCAGGCCAAGCAGCATCAAAGGAGCAGGAAGGCTGACGTTTCGGGTCTGGACCCTTCTTCAGAAAAAAAAACTCAACAGCCTATTCCTGCTTTCTCCCGATAACCTTTGATCCCATTCGCCCTAAGTGCTATATCTAGCCGCCTCTTGAAAACATTCAGTGTTTTGGCATCAACTACTTCCTGTGGGAATGAATTCCACAGGCTCACCACTCACTGGTGAAGAAATGTCTTCTGATCTCCGTCCTAAATGTCTACCCCGAATCCTCAGTCTGTGACCCCTGGTTCTGGATACACCCACCATTGGGAACATCCTCCCTGCATCTACCCTGTCCAGTTCTGTTAGAATTTTATAAATCTCTATGTGATTCCCCCCTCATTCGACTGAACTCCAGCGAAACCAATCCCAAATTAGTCAATCTCTCCTCGTACGTCAGACCCGTCATCCCTGGAATCAACCTGGTAAATCTTCGCTGCCCTCCCATGAGAGCAAGAAAATCCTTCCTCAGAAAAGGAGACCAAAACTGTGCACAGTATTTGAGGTGTGGCCTCGCCAAGGCCCTGTACACCACCTCCCATCAAAATTCCCCTCCTCTCTCACTCTTTCTCATCCCCTTCTCCCCACCCCATCACCTACCCCCTTCCCCTTTCCTTCGTAAGATTTATAAATCTTATTCAGGTTTTTTTTTAATAGAACAGTGCCTTAAATAAGATACTAACTGGAGGCGTAGGATGCTGTGAGTGTTCTGCATCTGAAAATTGTTCAGATGAACTCCAATCCAGCTGCTGTTAAGTGTACACTTTTGTCAGTTGACTGTGCATGTGAAGTTTCAGATCAAGCAAACTGGCAGTCCTGATTGTTTAGTGTGTGAATGTGTTGTATGGTACTACACTTTCCTTATTCAATTGTTGATCTGCACAGGGAGCAATGTGCTACAGCTGGTTCCTGTGCCCATTGGACTGAAGTCAGTCAAAATGCCAGCTTCTCCTATCTAAGAACACCTGGTGGAAGAACAGTGTAGCTGATCACGAACGTCAGATTTGGCTATGATACTACTCAAAATCAAATAGCACCATTTGTGTGGGAACATATGAGAATTCCTAATTGACCAAAATACCACCGGTTTGCCAGAATCTGTCATGGACTACCATCTTCATGAGATAAAGTGATAAGATGGAAAAAATAAACATCTGAACATGTAAAGGATACTACAGTGTACATATTGTTGAGCAGTGTTACTATGGTACCAACAGTATCCTCTCTTGCCTTTATTACTCTGTAGGGCTATTCGAAAGCAGATTCAATGTGAAGAAAGACATAGGTTCAGAATATTTGAGGGACGTTCTTGGGATGTATGGTACAAAATGACGCAAATGTAAGTTCTCTATCCAGGGAGGGAGATCTCTTAGATGAATGTGGCACCTGTTCAGAGGACAGTGGAAACTTGGCAGTATCGCATTTATCAAATATCTAAGGACTCCACCTGATGATGGAGCAGCACTCTGAAAGCTTGTGATTCCAAATAAACCTGTTAGATTATAACCTGGTGTTGTGTGACTTCTGACTTTGATATGTTTAAGTTGTTGAAATGTACATGGTTTCAATGATGTCACTTTTTTTTTAAAACCAAGACAACCTAGCTGCTGTTGACCACATCCTACTGGTTCTGTCTGGCAAAGGAGGAGTTGGGAAAAGTACCATAACAACAGAGTTAGCACTTGCACTGAGAAGTGCGGGGAAAAGGGTAAGACAAAATAAACGTCAACAAAAGTGGTGAATATTCTCCTGATGTTCAACAAAAAAGTTATGTATCTTTGTGTGAAGAATATTAATTTTTTTTCAAAAAACTCTTTTCTGTCTCAGAATGCTAGTTCCGAGATGAGTCTATTCGGGGCACAACATGGCAGCAGGAAAGAAATTCTATGCAAAATACGCTGATGGTGACAAAAGAAGCAAACATGAATTCTAAAAGTGTGACCACATAAGGAAGCTATTTTTGCTTCTCTTGCCAGTGCAACTGCTGACTCTGCACCAGAGCCATAACTCTAATTTTATTTGCCTTTCTGCTATCTGTGAATACGAGTGCAAATTGTGCTCAAAATTACACTGGCTTCCTACACCGAAGTTTTTGGCTCAAGTTCCTGCTTGCTCATTGGCATAGTACTGAATGTAAAATCTTCTGTAAACCAGCATAATTGGACAGTGTTTTGGAAATATAATTCGTTTTGTCTTATTACAATAAAATCTGGTAGTATATATTTTAAAGGTGATAACTTGGAACAGTTTTAGTAATGCAGCTGAAAATGTTTTATCATGAAAAATTTGCATGCTTAATGAGTGTCTAGTGAACCACCTGATTTCAAATAACTTTTAAAACTAATTTTTAAAAAACTACATGGAGCCATTTACCATTTTCATTGGTGTATAGTAGTCAATTTGTTTCTAATTTTTAAACATTTTTTAAAGCTACTTATTAATGTCTTTCTGTCAGAGAAGAAATAACAAATTTTAAGAACATCTTCAGAGGGCCGCATGTAAGCACACTTAACAGAAACTTGCTATGGTGATTATCTCAGTCTGAGGATGTTGTAGTTTTGAGTGCAGCCCCATCATCCGTGTTTAAACCACCTCACAACATCACAGAAACCCAATTTGTGCTGCCTGTGATTCGCGCCTGAAAATTCTCTATCTTTTGTTATGCTTTGACTGAGTTTTGGATGATCCAAGACAGCCAACCCAAACTTTTAAATTCATGACACTGCAAGCAATTCATTTATAGTTGATGCATACATTTCCCAGCAGCTCAATTTTTATACATTCTTTCTCCTGAACTTTGTTCCAGTGGTCCATACTATTGGATTCCACACTGCTTCCTAAAAAATTGTTTGTAACTGCTCCTGAATCAAGGTAAGGTAGCTCACTGTTGAAAATTACATCAGTTAAGGCAACCCTTTGTTCTAGCATTCCACAGTGCAACAGGATACTATGCCAACAATGAATATTTCCTGTTTGCTGTCGCAAATCATTTTTAACTTTCCTCCAGAAACAGTCTAAAATTTTGATTGTTAAATTTGTTTTAAATCTCTTCAAAATGAAAAGAAAGTAGGACGTAACTAAGAAAATATTAAATGCTTTAAAACACGTACTTGAAGAGGAAGGACATTTGACAGGAACAGATTTCAAATGTTTAAATCATTTGTGTTCTTTCTAAATGTTTATTCAATTCACTTTTCAATTTAATTTTTATTTCAAAAACCACTTATGAGTAGAGCATGCTATGTTTTGGCTCTGTGAAAGCATTGAAAAGCTGTAGCTTCCCTTTAGTTTTGCCAATTTTTTTGAGTCTGATTTGTATGGTTAACAGTATTTCACTGCATAGTTTCTAAAATTCTTAAGTAGTTTTGAAAATCTCCTTTTGATCTTCCAACACCACCACCTGTTCTGTCTTCTCTTTGCATATAATAGGATTCTTCATTCCTATAGTCCTGGTTTGCTGTCATTCTGGTTAATCTGTGATGTCAGTTTTATCCGCTTGTTTGTTTAAAATTATTGTTGAATTGTTTTATTTTAGGTTGGAATTCTCGACATTGATCTGTGTGGTCCTAGCATCCCTCGGATGCTGAATGTTCTGAATAGTGCTGTACATCAATGCGATGCTGGTTGGGTACCAGTTTATGTAGACAAAGATAAAACAATGTGCATAATGTCAATAGGCTTTCTCTTGGAGACTCCAGATGATGCTGTGATATGGAGGGGTCCAAAAAAAACTGGTAAGGTCCCATTACTTTAAATCAAACAAACAACAAAAGAATCTTGTGTTGTGACTCAGCAATAATTAATTACAGGCAATCTGTTACTGTTGGATGTTCCTTTAGCATGTTGGTGCCCTTCCAACATTGCTCAGGTTACAGCAGACAAACAAATTTTAGAATTTAAGAACGTAGAGCAGGTGTAGGCAATTCAGCCCCTTGAGCCTACCCTACTATTTAATGTGATCTTGGATGATCTCATCTCAGCCTCAACTCCACTTTCCTGTCCATGTTCCATAGCCCTTAAACATATTACTAATTAAAGATCTGCCTATCTCTTCCTTGAATCTATTCAGTGTCCTGGCATCCACCACGATATGGGGTAATGAATTTCACAGATTCACAGCCCATTGAGAAGTAATTTCTCTGTCTCAATCTGAGAAATAGATTTTTTTTTTGCCTTGCTGTGTAGTAATACAATATGATTGTAATGAAAGAGATCTGAATTCTGGTACAGGCGATCCCCTAAAGTTGAAAGCTTTACTTGAGACTAAAATTTCTAGTCCAGCATAATTAGCCATAAAAGTTGATGTTAGAAATGTTGAACTTCAAGCACTGCTTTTAGGAATGTCTAGTTAATAGTATTTTTTTTTGATGCATTGGTGAAATTTTACAAATATTTGCCACTATGCAAACTTTGAATAATTAATTTTGTGACTTGTGCAGACTGAAATTAGGTTTAATATTTAAAGGTGAAAGTTCAATGTAACACATCTGTAACCTGGCAACAGAGAGAAATTTTGAGCTACTTGGTGTAATGTTCCTATTGCATATCCTGCAGCTTCTCTTTAGTAATACTGGAAATTAATTGATCCGGATAGCTAAATTCTACAGGCATTCTGTCCATCTCCCTGACGTAGCTCAAGTAGGAGACCAGTGTAACACTCACGAAATGACATAGTGGATGAAAATGGACACTTGTGTAATCTCCAGTTATTGTAAGAGACTTCATGAGTTCAGGGCTCATGTGCGAATCTACTTTTTCTAAAAACTTTTTCCACAGGTATGAGAGGGTATTGCAAGTTCAATATGAGGGTACATTGGCAGTCTTCTAAGTAAATATAGATGTGAAAATTCAAAGATGATTGCATGCAAGTCTAACATATAGAAATTGTAACGAAAATAGGATGTGAATTTGTCTGTGCACCACTGGAAATTACTGACAGGAAAGGATAAAGTGGTCCATTCCAAACTATCTTGTGCGCATGATGTCTGGACCACTTGTACCTTAGTTGTGACTATGTAACCACCTAAAATGGCTGAGAGAAACACCCAGCCATGTGCTATATTTCACCTGGAGGTTGCACTTGGTCTTAAATGTTTGTTTGCGGTGGGTTGGGAGGTAAAAAAAATAAAAATGTGACTGCAAGTTAGAATTTTTATTCTTCAGTTAGTAGGAAGCTTCATCTGTGCTGGCGTGAGTTGTTTTATTTAGAGTCATAGTCATATTTAAATAGATCATTTATGTACAGATTTCAGTTGAGTCCTAAGAAAAGCCCAGAAGGTCAGGATATATTTTCACTGTGATACAACGTTGATGTCATGTAACTGGAATTGAATGACGTGTAACCCTGGGATTTTGACTGGTGGAGGTATAACTGTGCTCAAACAAGCTTTATTAACTTGGCAGTCAAGTTCGACTGTAAGACTTTAATTATCCTCTGCGCTTATGAAATAGCTAAATATTCTCAAGTTTGCCTTATAGTTTTAAAAAAAAAATCTTTCCTCCCTTCCCCACTTAGCTCTAATCAAGCAGTTTATTTCTGATGTGGCCTGGGGAGAGCTTGACTATCTCATTGTTGACACTCCGCCTGGGACGTCTGATGAACACATCTCGGTGGTGGAATGTCTTCGTCAGCATAAACCTGATGGAGCTCTGTTGGTTACAACCCCACAGGTGTGTTTATTGAGAAATTCAGCTTCTGAGGTCTTTTCAGCTTTCTTTTCTTCATACCAGGCCAATAAATGCTGATACAAACAGTTAAATAGAATGCACACTTTTTTTCTGTTGTTATGTATTTGCATGGTTTAAATTGCATCACACTGACTTCCATCCAGGCAAAATGCAGTTTCTATCTCAAGTCATTTCATGTGTTGCTGTGTTCACCATTTCTCCTTTTTTTTTGGAAGGGAGGAACCGTGGCAGGACTTACCAGTAACATCAAGATGTTTGACCAAAAATAAGAGAAACTTATTGGCCCTTTTATTTCCTGCGATATTGTTTCTGCTGTTGCAGCCCAACCCTCCACAGTTGATTTTGTTCTTTTGAAATTTAAATGGCACTAATGCCAGGGGCATGACAGACCTTTACAGACACTAATGTGGCTGTTCAATCTAATTGCATCATTCTTGCATCTGTCCGTCTGTCTGTGGTTAAGTATGTTGAGCAGTTTGCCCCCACTTCCCCCGTGTTGGCCAAAATTTCTGCAAATTTATACCTGGGCCACCGGTACTTGTTGGATGCACCAACATCCTGAGCTGGTCTTGGTCCACATTTTGTTTTGACAATATAAAGGGATACAGTAATATACTGTGGCTGAGGCTGATTTGAAAGTGTAAAACATATATATACTAATGAAACAGTTACCTGGTTTACATTTATTATTTGGTTAGAAATCTCTCTCTCTCTTCCTTGGGTCATCTTCAAAGTCTTGCTTTTTCCATTTTGTACATGGAGTCTGAAATGTATGCTATACAGTGACGTTACGTAAGAGGTATTTCATGTATGATAAATCAGGAACAACGTTGGATTTTGTCATTGGCATTTTCTGCTTAGTAAGTTGTTGCAAGGATCTCTGGGTGGATGGTAAAATGTCTCAGATTTCTAATAAAAATAATGTTGCGGTTACTGGAAATTTGAAATGTAAGCATGAAATGCTAAAAATGCTTAGCAGGTCAGGCAGCATCTGCTAAGAGAAAAAGAGTTGGTGTTTCAAGTTGAATGTCACTGAAAATGTCATTAACTGTTCCTCTTGCTCAGGTCAGGTGGCATCTGTAGAATTTTCAATGTTTTCTGTTCAGTCTCCATTCCAGCTATTGTTAGTATTATCCTCTAGTGTCAGGAATTGGCATTACAAAGACTACTTAGATGACTGTTCATCCTTCTAAATTTTCCATAACATTGCCATTAACTTTTGTTTTTCTGAATTAGTTACAATCTTGTTTTGGCATCGTAAACACCATCCTAGTTGACAGAATTAAGCATTACTTTGTTGAGTTTCCTCACTCTTAACTGTTCTGTCGTTGTAGTTGTGGAGGGGTGTTTTTCTGACTGGAGGTCTGTGACCAGTGGTGTTCCGTAAGGATTAGTGCTGGCCCAATGTTGCTTGTAATATATGTGATTGATTTGGATGAAAATGTAGGTAGTATGCTTAGTGAGTTTGCAGATGACACAAAATTGGAGTTGTGGATAGTGAGGAATGTTGTCAAGGATGTGCAGGATATGGATAATATCGAAAGTTGGGTGGAGAAATGGCAGATGGAGTTTAATCTGGATAAATGAGGTCATCCATTTTCAGAGGTCAAATGCAAGAGGAAAGTATACATGACAGGACATTGATATACAGAGGGATCTTGGGTGCAAGTTCCTAGCTTCCTGATAGTGCCAGTACAAATGGATAAGATGGTAAAAGAGGTGTATGGCATGCTTGCCTTCATCTGTAAGGGCATTGAATATAGAAGTTGGCAAGTCATGTTGCAGCTGTATAAAATTTTGATTAGGCCACATTTGGAATATTGCGTGCATGTCTGGTCACCGCACAATAGTGAGGATATGGAGACTTTGGAGAGAGTGCAAAAGAGGTTTGCCAGGATGTTAGCTATAAGGAGAGATTGGACAAACTGGGATTGTTTTTGCTAGAACCTTGGAGACTGAGGGGCAACCTGATCAAACCTGATTAAGGAGATGTGCAAGGCACTTTTTTTAATGCAGAGGGTAGGAGGTGCCTGAAACATGCTCCCAGGGAGGTGGTAGAAGCAGATGTGATGGCACCCTTTAAGACGCATTTAGACAGACACATGAACAAGCAGGAATTTGAGGGATATGGACCATTTGCAGGCAGATGGGATTAGTTTGGGATGGTATCATAGTTGGCACAGGCATGATGGGCCAAAGGGTCCATTCCTCTTCTGTACTGTTCTATGTTCTATGGTCTTTTTTTTTAAGCTCTTCTGTAAGTGTTATTCTACCTGACATTGCTCTTCCTTTCAACACTGCAGCATTGTTCAATAATGCTATTGGTCTGCATTTTAAAAACTTTGGACTTAACCAACTTAACCTCAGGTTCATGCATCCCAAGTCAACTTTATTTCCACTTGTAACTTCTACCATTCCAATATTGGAGATGCTAACTACTTTATGTAAATAAGTATATTTATTTCCTTATTCTCTAATTTGGGTGGTGCTTCATCTGATAAATTTCTTTAATTTTTCATCTCCCAATAATTCTTGCAATTTTCCTTGTTTCTTGAAGTCTCACCAAACTTGATCAGGTCAATGTTGCTTTGTGATTTTGTCTCCACTTTAAATATGTCTTTTATCTTACAGACTCCTCTCCCGCATCCTCTCTCAGTTGAATTGTGCTACAACCCCATACAGTCATTTGTTCACTCACTGAGCCTCAACTATGTCAAACTGCTGACTTCTCTTTAGTTTTTCCATTCTCTGACAATCTTAAGAAGTTTATTAACTCCAGTTTGGCATTGTCTGATCACTGTGTGTTGTGTTTTCAATCTCAACTTTTGTGCTTGAGAAAAAGATTTCTCCCCATAACTCCTGAAAGTTCCTGAACTATGATTCTGTGAGCAGTGATTAATCTAAATTGCCTTGTCCAAGTGATCATTATTCATAATGGATGCTTGAACATAATTGTTGACAAGTTTAATTTCGAAACAACTGAGTATTATCGTTCTCACTCCTTTTGAGTATCATTTCAAAATATTTTGGTTTTATTAACAGGCAGTGTCTATTGGAGATGTAAGAAGAGAATTGACATTCTGCAAAAAAACTGGATTGCCAGTGGTAGGAATAATTGAAAACATGAGTGGCTTTGTTTGTCCTAACTGTTCAGTGAGTATTGTAAGCTTTTTGAATCATGTTAACTGTGGGTTTATTAGACTTCTTTGATCATGTGAAGAAACTTGTGTAGATTTTTAAAATATGGGCTTATTGCTGATGTGAGAAATATCTATTAATGTTGACAATGTGTTAAGCATTTGAAAATTTTGATGGATTTTAGTTGTTATAGATCAAAGAAACTCGCTTTTTAAATCTTGACTGGAGGTGAACTATAATTTTTGCTTTGTATATTTCTTAATATTTAAGACCAAAAAACTCTGATCTTTTGAGATATGGAAATGTTAGAATATATTTTTTCTTTAATCATCATTAGTGATTTAAACCAAAACAATCCAACTGCTGGATTTCCACTTGAAGCAAGATAGGATGGAATAATTAATGTGAAGTTACAAAGAACATGGCTCTGCTTGAATAATTGTAGATATGTTTAATTAAACGTAATTTGATATGTCTCCAGATTGTATGACTTGTAAAGGAACACAATAATAATACTTAAGCTGTTGATATCATTAGATGATTGCTTTTCAGGAATGCACCAATGTATTTTCCAAGGGAGGAGGTGAAGCACTTGCTGAGCAGTCTAGTGTTCCATTTTTAGGTGAGCATCCTAAATTAAGCTGTCGAATTTGTAATTCACTTGCAAGTTTTGGAGTTCACCTGATCTTTGCCAACCATCTAGAAGCACTTTTGGAACAAAAGGATTTCTTTACAAAGCACAGTCTGTAAAAGTACACTTCATGATTAATATACATCGTGTGTTGGGTTCATTTTGAGGAAGAGCATTGAACAAAATAAATTTATAATTTGATGCGGTATGAGTATTTAGACACTTAACACTTCTGCAGAACATTTATGCTTGGTGTATCTGTAGAGATTGCAGCATGCTGGAGGTTGCTTTTTAGTGAATGTGCATGTGAAATTTTTGTGTCATTAAGAAAATGGTCACAAATGAAAGACCTGGTTTGAACCATCTAAAAGAAACATACAATTTCCTCTGTCCCCTCTGAATTACTGAATTCACTTACCTCTTAAATGATTCCAAGATTTCAACGTATTATACAACTAGAAGTTCATTCCCAGTGTTAACTATTTTTTCTGATGTGCTGACCATTTTAATATTGGTCCTAAATGTATTAGCCTGTGCCGGCTTGTTGAGCATTGTCTCGGGCCAGGCACGTAAGCAAAATTTATTAGTGGGGACGAAGCACTTGGGTGCGTGAAAAGAAAGAACATTTTTATGCTGTGAGCACCTTCATGAAATATCATTGACTCTGTGGTATTTTTATTAAACAAAAATATTACTACAGCCGCATTGAAGATCCACACTTTTTTTTTTAAAGAAAGAACTCCCTTATGTGTTTCTTTAGTTGTTTTTATTTTGACATTCCCACATTACTGTGATGTTCAGATGAAGTGAAAAGAAAAGCTGGGATATATGTTCCATATGTGAATTATTTTAACTGTATAAACAGATTAAAATGTCTATATTTTACATTTATATGCATTTCTTTCCTTTTGACAAGCTAACACTCAATGAGTGACTGTAAATGCTGTAGCTTTAAGAGCCTTGAAATTATGGTAAATCTAAGGTGCAAATATCTGAATATTTTTAATTGAAGAGTCTTAACCAGTGCATAAGCTCAAATTTTTTAATTTCACATTGTAATTTCAAGGCTGAAGGATGTTTCCCCTTCATTTACTGTAGATGTTTGTCGTGGCTTACACCCTAGTTTGGGCTGGTTTTCACAGTCATAAGCCATTGAATTAATTGATTTGTTGGTGATGATTTTTAGTTTTAGGTTCTGAAGTATAATTTTTTTTTTACATCTCTCGCAGGGTGCGTTCCTCTAGATCCTCAACTGTCACATAGTCTGGAGGAAGGTCGAAATTTCATCCAAGCCTTTCCAAAGAGTGCAACCTTTGAGGCTATTAATAACATAGTGGAGAAAATTTTAAGCAACAATAATCAATCTACAGCACTTCATACATGAGGTCATTCTTGTATTTTCATATTGAACTGCTGAGTTGGAGGATCACAGAACAGCAGCATAAAGAACTCTTACTCTTGGAATATAAGAATAAAATAATTCATGTTTCTTCCAGAGATGGAAACAATTTTGAATATTGGACCAATAATGCCTTTTGTTGTAATTATATTAAATCATTTGTACCCAGTTATTTTTGTGAACACGCTAGAACACTCTCCACATGTTGAGCTTAAAATTAAATATATTTCCAATGCCAGACATTCTGTTCTAGATGTTAATGTGATGTTGTATTGAGTGGCTGATTTAGGAGGTCACCTGTTCTTACTATTTACAACTCCTTGAGGTGGGAACACTCTGCAGAAAGTACTCCATCCTCAAGGCTAACTCAATTTGTGCAATATAGAGTTTAAAAAAAACTAAACTTTGGGAATTGGGGGGAGAAAAGTTTGGAATCGGTCAAAGATATGAAATAGTTTAAAATTGCAATAATTAATTTCATAAACTAAAACTATGATCTTACTAGAATCTATATAGAAATAGTTCATAGTTGATTTGACTGCTCTATGTATCTGTTTATTAAGGATGCCATCTGTAGCTAGGATGTTCACTTTTGGTGAGCATTATGATCTGTAAACTTATTTTAAAACTTTTACTTTTATTTTATTAAAGAAACTCCTTACTATAATCATAAACTCCCAAGTGTTTGCTTCTGAAATTAGGATTCTCAAAAAAATTAATCACATAAACAAAAATCTGACACAATCAGACACTGAGAATTATTAACGTGTGTAATGCCATCAGTAGTATGCTGAAGCTAGTTATGTTAATTTGGCTTTATTACTTGCTGATTTAAGGCTGTTTAATAGCATGATCTCGGTCAGCCTCGTGGTAGGATGTTGCAAAAGTGATGTTATCGGTTAGCCCTAGTAACACAAACATTTGTATTGAGTGACTTATATGAAGTTTGAGTTTGAATAACGCCAACATTTTATTTGGGATTTCATGGGGTTGGAGAAATTTTTTTTTATTCTTACTGCCTTCTGCAAGGTTAGAAAAACAAGCACAAAGCGTATGCTCTGGTAGCATTGTGACGAGGGACCCAGCTCAAGATTTGGATTTGTTCCATCCTCGTGCCTGAGTAGAAGTCGAAAAAACAGGAAATGATAAAAATAAAGGAATTGCTTGCCATATTCTAGAATGACTGGAATTGTAATTAAAGGTTAACTATTTTTAACAGCGGCCTGATACTGTAAATTTCCATCCTTGATTTCTGCTGTGCAAGGTGCAAGTTAAAGCTGGGCTGCAGCTTAGCTGAATGATCTATTTCTGATTTCTATTGTTCTAAAAAGGATCAGTTTTGGATGGCTTGCATTCCTGTGACATTTCATTTAGAGAGAGAGTATTAATATTAAAAACCTGTTAGTGTTTGCCTGAATCCTACACTTAATCATACCTCCATGTGACTATAAAATTTGAATTTATGTTTCCATAAAATATTGACTGGAACAATTGGCTACATCCCATCTCATAGCCTGATGCTTGCACCATCATACTATGCCCAAGCACTTAAGTATTTGAGATTGTCTGTGTCATCCTGTTTCATTTGTAGTATGCTACATTTGTGGCCAAAATCACTGCTATCTGGGCATTGTACTTGTGTGAAAAATTGGAGGAGTGCTTTTAAACTCTCGTTCAGCTTCAAACAAATTGCTGCCTCCTTGACTTGATGTACACATAACTATACAACTTCCTGCTATCCTAGGAGTCCAGTCAACATGAATAACTGTTCATTGCTAATAGGAAAGAAAAGAAATCCTTATTTAGCTCAGAAGTGCTGTGGAATAATAGTCATTCCTGAGCAGGCAGCACAATGAAAAGCTTTAATATTTACAAATCCAAATGCTTTTAGTCCAGTGTACCACTTCTCAGCCTGCGGCTTTCTGTTTCCCTTTGTATCAGCTGCAGTGAATATTTGAGTACCAAGTATTAAAAATGTCTGGTGCAGCATCTCTTGCTGATGAATCACTGAAGTCATTTTTAACCGAGTAATTGTTAAACCATCTGGGTGGCCATTATGCCAAGTCTGGAGGTTGTACATTCTAGACATCACGACGTAATTTGCTTAGGAAGGGAACACAAACTTGAGGAAAGGCTTTCTTAAGTACGAAACTCAGGATAGTCAAGTTCAAAACGTAACTGAGGCCAAGTTAGATTACCTTGGTTCTGCAAGAAAACATATTGTAAAAATCTATTGCGTAACCATAATAGTCATACTATTGGTGTCTTGGGTAATAAAATTACATTTGGTCAATGTACTGAAAGTCTCTACTGCAAAGAATTATTTAACTGCATGTAAAGGATTCTCTAAAAGGAACTACAAAATGATTCCCTTCCCTTAAGTCATGTTAAATTATATTTTGTAGGAAGCATCATCAAGTGAAGGATCTGGGACCTGCTTAAGAAGTTGCTGATTTAGGTAGAGCAGAGCCTGGTGAAACATCCCACTATTTTTCCACAGCAATATGTCTTCACCATATCCTCACCATATTACCCTGTGAATTTCCACTTTGTGTAATTCTTAAGCATAGAAGTAGATGAGTGTCCGCTGTAGTTCAATAACATGGTTGGGCACCTCAGCTCCACATGCCTGCCTTGTTACTCATGTTACCATTGCAGAATGACCTTTTCTCAAAATGACTTTTAGAGTAATTGAGTCTTTTAAGATTTGGTGAATGATAGACATTCTTCAGCTGTGAAATTCTCTTTGAAAAGGAAAGTTACTGTTTACAAGGGGACCATTTACCTAATTAGACCAAAATTAAGTAGAAAACAACAGGATGCTAGTTGATAGTCACCTGGTCCCATATTTCTATCCTATTTTGAGCTGCAATGTTTTCGGGAAATCACATAATAAACCATTTCTCCATCTGGAGCGGAAAGCAAGAGTTCAGAATGGGATTTGGGGATGCTTAGGACTAGAGTGTTGAGGAGACAACAGGAAAAAGGGATGGCAGAGGTATTTGAAGTTTTGCAAGAAAACTTGTCGTTTTGGAGCATGCATTTGTTTCAGATCAAACGATAAAGATCATTAATTAAAAGGCTAACAGCAAAGTACTTAGCCTGTGGATCTACCCCAAAGAAATGGATCTAATATCTCTGTAATATCCGTTGGTAACATGCACTGCATAAATTATATTCAACAAACAATTTGTCATTTGGTAACAGACTTCACTTCAGTTAACTGAATTAATAAAATAAGGGGCAAAATTTCTGTTCTTATTGATTTTTGTGTAGATTTGAATGAAATAATTTGTGGTTAAATATTCTGAATAAAATTAATCCATATTTGCCCTTGCTATTGCTGAGATGAGTTTGTCATGTTTAACTCATTTTATTTTGTTTAGTTAGCAATTTTTTTACTCCATATACATACACATTCACAGAATTGTTATAACATGGAACACTTGGACCTATTTCCTACTCAAATTACCCTCTCCATCATCCCCATTAGCTCCCACTCTAAAGTGATAAGGAATTTGTTCCAATAACAATTATTTTGTTATCTGTGATACCTTTGAAACAAAGTGTAGACATTTTACTCAGATTAGAGACTAACACAGTCAGTGCACTTGTTATGATTTTAACGCAATTGGCCAAATTTTGTTTCTAAAGCAATTATGATGAGCATATTGGAATTCACACTAAGCCAGAAAGAATCATCATATTCATTGCAAATTTGATTGGTAATATTGGATTCCAAACCAACTAGATCTGTCTAGCTTTGATTTCACTTGGCATACACAATTGTGTATGAAATGTACATCTGGTTGTGAAAGGTGCACCACGAGGGCATTGTTGCCTGAGCAATATACATGTGATGATTGCAGGAAACCATCTTGCACTTGATATTAGCAATGACCAAAATAGTCCTCACTAATGTCTCTCAGATCTGTACTAGCAATGGTTTCTGGGCTTGCGCAGGTGATGTTGTTGTATGTGTGCATGATGATATCGTCTTCTATTGCTGATTCGAAATAACGAGGAACTACATGGGGATTCTTTAGACTGTAATTTCTGAGTGACTTTAGTAAACAGTCACAATGCCAGTTGTTGCCCCCAAGCAGTAGTTGCTCCAATTGTGTGGACTGCTCCAAAAAATGTTGTGGGAAATGATTTAAGGAGTTGTCCTTGAGGTTCAGATACTTTAACTCGGTCAAGGGTGTAAGAGTGTAATTATCAAAAAACTCAATAAAGTTCTCCGATAAATCAAGCCACGAAAGGTGTTGAAAAGGCTGAAAGGTGGTTTCAGAAATGTGTTGAAGTTCATTGCACTTCAATAGTAGATACTCCAGATTTGGTACACCGGCAAAGGCCTGAGGAGATATCTGTATTAGTTTGTTGTATCTGAAATCCAGTTCTGAAAGCTGTTTTAAGTCGCTGAGGCTCTGATTGTCAATGACTGAAATGTAATTGTTTTGCAGGAAGAGTCTTCGAAGGGAGAATAATCCAGAAAATGTGTTTGGTTGAATTCTGGTGAATGCATTATTTTCTAAATGCAGGCTATGTAGATTAATAAGACCTTTAAATGAGTGATCTGGTAAATCCTTTAAGGAGTTGCTGGATAGATTCAGTACAGCTACCTCACGAAGGCCAGCAAATGTCCCTGGTTTGATCTGCTGAATCTGATTATTGTTTAGTGTGAGGACTTCCAATTGTACTAACCCATCAAATACATTCTCAGAAAGGCTTATGATTTTGTTGTACCCAAGCTGGAGTTCCTCCAGAAACTGAAGTTCTCTGAATGTCCTGTGCTTCAACTGTATGATGGAGTTGTTGAGCATTCGAAGTACATGCAGATTTAGAAGCCCAGAGAATGTTTCTTCATGTAGTACTATAATGCGATTGTGGGACAAGTCTAACCATCGAAGCGATTTCATTCCCATAAAAGCTCTTGGTACAATGGTGCTGATCTGGTTATGACTCATATAAAGCTTCTGAAGCTTTTGCAGCTTCACAAAGATATTCCCCTTAATGCCTCTCAACAAATTTCCCGATAAATCAAGTTCTTTTAGCTCTACCAAACTTACAAATAGTTGGGGCTGCAGGTAAGTTAGTCTATTTCCTGCCAAAATAAGCTCCTTTAAGTTTGGTAAGTCATGAAAGACTGTAGCAGGCAAAACTGCCAGATTGTTCCATCCCAGGTTGAGGTACCAGAGATGAGATAGGCCGGAAAACAACCCATCTTCAATTTTGCCGAAGTTGTTATTATTCAGACTGAGTGATCCAAGAGATGGAGTGTGGAGAAATACGTTTGGTAGGAGGTATTTCAGTCTGTTCCTTTCCAAATGCAAGTGGACTAGCATCTTCAAACCATAGAAGGCATGCTGCTCGACAGTAACTATATAGCTATTCTCCAGATTCAAGAAATCCAGATTAGACATGTTCATGAAAGCATGGGATTGAAGAACTGTAAAGTTATTAGCATCAAACCAAATGGCTTTAGCGTTGAACGGTAGATCGTTTGGAATGTGTGTATAGTTACGAGAGCTACAGTAGACATTCAGTTCTTCACTGTAGTCATCAAAAATGCAGGTGCACACTTCAGGGCAGTTGAAGTTTTCATCAGATGACCCTTCTACTGGTAGCTGTGGTTCTGTCCCCAATAGTGGGATGCACCATTGACAGACAATTACTGATACAAGGCAAAATTCTAAAAGAAAAACACACGCAACATGCAATTAGAGAATATGAAGCATTTAGCTAATATTTATATTATAATTATGACACTTTGACAGCAAAAAGACCAAGACCATTTAGCACCTAGCGTATTATTATTCTGCTGTCAGGGTATTGTTGACATAACTTAGATATCTCTTTTAAGACCATATGATCTAAGAATGCATCATGAGGTTAATTAAGATCTAATTGCTCTCTGATACACACTGAAGTAAGTTGCAGCTTTGGAGATACTTTTCCAGTACTTTATTTTAAAGATTGCTCTGCAATGTTTGAAATTTGAAATACATTAAATATAGTTGAGAACTGTTATCCTTCTGTAACTTCAAATCTCTGCGTTATTTCATTTTGACAATGGGAAAAAAATTGCTAAAAGATCAATTTTGCATTTTAGACTTATTTGGATTGAAGATTTTTCAGTTCTCCATAAAGAATAATTTACAATTCCTTACTTTCAAACAAAATATCGGTGATTTTCTCATTAAATGGAATCCAAGATTGAGGATAACAATCCTCCTGTTTGGTATCACAAATAGGCATAGTGATCAATTTTGCCAGCGTAAGTCATCTCAAAAATTAGTTTTAAAATAGGTAAGATTGTATAGAAAGTTTGAGGTCCTGCTGAGACAGTGTGGATGGACGTTAGAGAACCTATGACAATATTCATCTAAGCTTGGCAAACGGTCCTGACCAACACCAGGAGATCACGTTAAAAGGGCATTCACCTCATTGCTATTTGCGAGGCAGTGATGGTGCAGAATATATATATACGTTTAAATATAAACGTAACGACAATGGAGTTGTATGGTAGGTTTAGTTGCGTGGGGCCCTAAGTTAGTCAGGGGTCTAGTTCATTATCAGAATAATGGATACTAAACCCCAATTTATTGTTTTAGCAACCCTGCATTGATGCTTTTGTATAGATCCCCCTGCAAGGTGAAGGTGGCTAGAACAGTTCAAATATACGTTGCAGTGTATAAATGCAGATTTTGTTTCAGTTTGCTGTTTTTGTACTTGACAGACATTACAAAGAAAGCTTGTTCTGACACTTATCTGAGAAGAAAGAAGTGAATGGAGATCTTGCAAAATTATTAATGGAGTCATACTGCACCGAAACAGTCTCTTCGGTCCAACCAGTGCATGCCGAACATAATCCCAAACTCAACTAGTCCCACCTGTCCGCTCCTGACCCATATCCTCCAAACATTTCTTATTCATGTACTTATCTGAGTGTCTTTTAAACGTTATAACTGTGCCTGCGTCCACCACTTCCTCAGGAAGCTCATTCCACACACGAACCACCCCTCATGTCTTTAAATCAGTTCCAAATTTCCAACAAAAGATCCACGTCTATGAATAGATTCCTAACATCTTTTACTAGTGTCATTTTTCTGGATGTTTCATTCTTACATCAAATGTATGAAATCTTCATGAACCTGCATTACTGGAGATTGTCTATCTTAGGTAACAACAAATTTGCAGAAAGGAGAATAAAGTATACATGTAGAGATCCATTACATGCTTTATGTTAGGAAACAAGCTTAAGCCTTCCCCCTTCTGAAGAAAAAATATCTTACCCACAGGTTTGTGCATTTTGCCAAGAAGCCTTTTCTGCAAAAAATGTTGCAAGTCCCAGTTGTCTTCTGTTTGGCTCCAATTGATACAGGCCACAAACTCTATGCACAATTGTCACTTTATTGTACAAAAGTTCAGGATCAATGGGACAACTTCTTTTCAGTAGCTAAACAGCCCAACTTTGCAAACCTTTCATTCTTCCTTATTACATGAATCTTTAGACCGCGCCTCCCCAACGCACCCACCCCCCCACCCCCCCACATACAGATTAGTGGATTGCGTGGACAACCAAATGGCAATGAGCCAAAATGGGGTCAGGAGAAAAATAAACAGCTGGCACATGGTAAAGAAGGAATCAATATTGTTTATTTAGTGCATCCTCATGTGGCAATATTTAGCTACTTTGCAGCCACAAAGCATGCTGCCAACGTACTGTCCCTCTGGACACCAGGTACGTTCACTTAAATCTGATAAGTTCACCTTGTCTGGCCAGGGTGTCATATTTGTTTGACACATTATGCAATCTCATTGGTTTTGTCCCCACTTAGCACCTTGGCTGAAAGGTATCATTGAGAGTGTAGTTGTGAATTTAACTGGTGCAATCTACAGTGGGCATTTACACACAAATTTATGATTGCAGCATCATTTTTGCACTTTTGTGGCAGTTTTCTCATCAGAATTCAGGTATCAGAAAGTGAGGAGAAAACTTTGTGGACAATGAATAATTTAGCATAGTGGTGGAATGGATTGAAAACAAGCTTTACTCACTAATCCCCGTGTACCCCATCCAAGACTAACCTCTTTATAATGATCTATTTCTGAAACAAGCTTTGATGTGCTCATCTTACACTATCAATTCAGCATTTTAACTCACTATAACTGTTGGTTCATTTTTGGTTGTATATGTGGTAAGTAGGAGGAATTAGACTTTAATTGACCTCCGTGTTAATTAGACTGTTCAAACTTCAAGGGAAAGTCACCTTAACGTCAGGCCAATAAATTCTGGCTTGTATTTCTATGCTTAAATCATATCTGACCCTCTGGCTTGGTGACTTTGTTATCAAGTAAATTAATGTTGAAATTGTGATGTGGATATAATTTTTAAATAAGATAAGCCCTTATATTTGAATAGTTACTTTAATAAAGGAGCAGAATGAATAGAGTAGCCTCTTAACATCTACAAAAGGTTGATGGAATATTTGATACTAGGGGTTGGTTAGCTCATTGGTTGGCTGGCTGGTTTATAATGCAGAATGGTACTAACAGTGTGGGTTCAATTCCTGCACCAGCAAGATTGCCATGAAGGTCACTCTATTCCCAACATCTCCTGTTTTCTGAGGTGTGGTGACCCTCAGGTTAAACCACTACCAGTCATTTCTCTCTAATGAGAGTGCATCCCCATGATCTAGCAACTTTACCTTTAAAACAGGGGAGGACAGAGCAGTTAAGTTATTCCATTATGACCAGCTTGTCAGAAATGAGAGTTTACTACACTTGTGTTTTATACAATGTTTTACTTAATACATTGAGGTGGTTGCAGCCATGATGCTTGCTCACTTCATGACAGTGTCAAGGAAGAGCAATATGTCATTGTAATAAAATTTCATTCTGCATCAAAATTTGCTGCAATGCAGAAATAATCAGTGCAGGACCTTTGGTATCAAGCAAGTAATCCCAAATGATCATTCACTATTTTCCCATTCCTCCAACATTCCTGAGATTGAGTAGGGGATCAGAATAAAGGCTGTGCCTTAAAAGCTTCAGTTTATTCCAATGATTTTGTTAAAATTTGCAGTAAACATTAAAATAAATAGATCCTGAAAATGAAACAATTGAAATTATTAGTATCTTGAGACACTAAATTACATTGGTTTGATTCAATCAATTTTAAATTTTATTTCTGCACTATTCCATTTCCTTCAATCCATACGTACTCATTGAAATTATTTTACTTATTCAGATCATGTCAATCTGATCTTGCATACTTTACTGAAGTTAACATTTTGTATTCACAGCAATTCCAGCTCTGATAATATTCTAGTGATAACGGTTAGTTAATGTTAGGAAAGCATGTCTCTAATGGTCAAGGTCACTGATGTCAAAAAGTGCTGGGAAGATCATAGTGATAACACAGCACATGAGGGGAGCATTGAGAGAATTACTTTGTTAAATTTAAAAGTCTTCTCATCAATTTGACTCCTCTTCCTTCCTTCCTTTCTTGACACGCTTGATGAAACCTGCTATTTCTCTGCCTGAGCTGATACAGGGAGGGTTGACAATCTTGCAAAAGGGTACAGTTGTGCTCAAGCCTGTTAGCAATCATTTCCACAAGCAAGCACATTCACCCAGGACCATCTGGTAGCGACCAGCACTGGGATGCTTGACTCAATCTTCCATTTCTCATGAACAAAGACGTTCAGGCCAAATGTGTCCACGCTATTGTCCCAGTCAAAATCTGCTAACGCTGTCAAAACCTAGGGAATCATCAGCTCATCTATCAGGCACATTACAGCCTTGTAGACATGAACAATTTTGCATCATAATTTGGATATTCTTAGACAGCATAGAACATAGCAGATGGGAAACAGTCCTGCTGTGGTCACTTACAGCTCCTCAGGACCCATCTTTCAATTATTTTTGTCATAACCCCTCATTTTTCTTCTTCCTTCCCCCCTTTCGCTACTTTATTATTACTGCCTTCCATTTTGCCACAGACATTTCTCCCTGTGCCTATTCGCTGTTTTCTTTGGCTCTATACTAGGTCTGACATTATTAAATTCCTCATTTTTTCCAGTTCTGATGAAGGGAGATCAAGATGAAATGTTAATTCTGTCTGCATTGTCTGAGTTGCTGAGTATTTCCAGCAGTTTCAGTTTTCACTCCAGTGAATGAAGAAGTTGAGTCTAAGCTATTGTCCATTGGATGAGCCAAACAATTGGGTCTCTACAGTTTTATAGCTGACCATGTGATGCATTTACCCACTGACACAGGATAGCTTTTACAATTCAGCTCTATCATTAGAACTCAAGTTGAGAATGTTATATACACATTCCAGCAAATATATTACAAAAAATTCACCCAACCAGTGAAATTATGTCAGTAGCCCCATCTGCACATGTAGTGGTGACTATTTGATTGATTGTTTTGGCATTTAGAACAATCACTCTATTGTCACAAATTTCTTTGCTAAAGGTGTCATTTTGAAGACTAAACAAAAAAAAACAAAATACTGCGGATGCTGAAGGAGAGTCACCGGACCTGAAATACTAACTCTGCTTTCTCTCCACAGATACTGCCGGACCAGCTGAGTTTCCCCAGCAATTTCTGTTTTATGCGAGATTTTGAAGTGTGGCTTAATGTGAGAGACACATAGACCTATTTGCAAAGAGAAGTCTCACAAATTGCAATGTAATTGGACCGGACGATTTATTTGTGTGATATTAACTGATGGTTAGATATTCTTCTGGACGTTCAGGGCACCTCCCCTTCTCATCTATTTTTGCCTGATTTCTTTCCCTTCAATCACCCCTCCCCAAAAGAAAAGGCTGCTAAATTGGCAGCTGGCAACTTCCAAGTGCCCTGGGTACCCTTTTAAAACAGGATTTAACTGCATTACGATATCAGTGATGGCACTATTGGCCATTTTGAAAGCCCGATCCATCCAAAAATTGTCACCATAACCCTTAAATTCAGAACCTCCAAGTATCCATTTATTTAAAAGAGACACATTCCTCCTACATTCAATGAATTTCAATGCGTAAAGATCCCCCACTTTGTTATGTTCCCAGCTGATGGTACCATGGGACAACTCAGATCCCAGAGTGACTCGACGCATCGTGTATTTTTTTATTTGCTAATGTGATCATTAGTCACTGCAGCATGTTCACATGAGGCTGCAGATGTTCTTTAACAACGGACATATTCCCGTGTGAAGATGGCAGAGTAGCAGCGTTTGGGCTGGGTCCTCAGCTCGGGGCTCGTCTGCTTCTGTCTGCCTTCCTTCTTTTTTCCTCCTTTCTTTTACACTGCTCTTTTTTTCTGGAGTGTCGCCAGGTGCAGTCCCCCAGAAAGTCGCCAGCAATGGTCGTGGTTCCCCAGAATGTTAGCTGCAGCAAGAGCAGTTCCTTCTTGGAGGGTCAGTAGCGGCGGGTTCCTTGCTGAAATGGCGGCACCCCCAGGCGGTGTGCAGACTCATGGCAGTGATGACATGGGTAGAGGTAAGATGGCACTGAAGAATGGTGACACAGCTCCAGCGGTGGTGTTGTAGCTCCAGTCCAAGGCAGGACCCGGTTACCTGGCAGGCAGATGCAGGGATTTTCTGGTGTTCCAGTTGCGGGGGATTTCGGGGATTTCGGGCACCTGAATGTTTGCAGACTGAGTGATGGACTTTGTGGCTTCATTTTTCTGGCAGCGAGGACTCATGGCGGAGGCGTGGAAGTGATTGGGTCATCTCCTTTTCTTTTGGGTGTTTCTTTTATTTCTGCTTCTGGTTTTAATCTGTTTTTGTCTTTTGTATACTAAGATGGCGCCAGAGAACGGTCACTTTGTACACTTTTCACCGTACTCCTGCATTCGTAAACTCAACAATAAAATCTAAATCTAAATAAGTTTATTATAAAAAAAAGAATAAAAAGTGATATAGTGTTGGACACAGTTCAGAAATATCTTAAACAGAAGAAAAAGTTTCAACTTGTTCCCAACGCTGTTACAGAGACTCATATTCAGAGAAATTATACTTCTCCCTCAACACTAAGTTTCTATTTACTAAATCCTTTGAATTACTTTCTCTTGAATGTAGAGACAGGTTTACAATTCCTTTCTGAGCCAATGGCACCAACCATTCGTGGCTCTAATGGCCTGAACGTTTTCAGTGCTAACAAATTACATGGACTAGTTAGACAATATTATAAAAACAGCTGGGAGCCAGAGATGATACATCTGTTTCTATTGTGAACTTGGGTTAGACTGCTTCTTTTACACCTAAACACTGAATTAAGCTCCAACTTTAACTCCTTCAGAACCATTCCCTCACACAATGGGCTAGAGGCATCTCATTGTGGAGCATGCTGAATGGAGACAAGTTGAATTTTTATTGCAAATTCTGTGATTTTCAAGTCAGACTGTGGTGTAATATAAATTGTGTCATGATGCTCAAAACTGGTGAGCCCTGATTATATAGAAATGAAGGAAAGGGATGACTGGACCTTGTGCATTTCTCTATAGATCTGTGTTAAGTGAGCACCCTGTCTGAATTAGTTCTTGGTGCAAAGCCAATTTCTCAACTGCTCTACCTTAAAGGACAAAACCTGTGCATTGCTCAGACCAGAAAAGAGTTCTCTGCAGTAAAGAATGATCCAAACAAAGTGTGACAAAATATCAGTGTGGCCTTCATCCACAAAGCAGTTTTTTTTCAAACAGTCTAAGATTGAGTTTGGTTGAAGCTGTTGATGACCATTTAGTGAGGACATGGAAAGGAACCTTGTAAGGAGCCAGATCACTGAGTACAGCAGGTTGCTGCTGAGCACTTCCAGAATGTTTGCATTCAAAGCTACGATGAAGTGAGTGACTGAGTCCGTGTCTCTTTACTTTGTGGCACAGCGGATGTGATCCATTCCATTTGCCTGTCAATGCTTATCACAGTCAAAGCAGGGTCATTTCTCATATCATAGCATCCTTTAAAATCAAAACAAACTTCAAATTAACATCAATATGCAGCCTAGAATGGCATTTTGTTTATTACCAAGATGAAGAGTATGATAATTTGCTTTCAATATATCAGCCTGTGTAATAGTGCAAGCCAATGCTAGTGCAAGCAGATGTGAAATTAAATGTGAAAATGCAAAAATCGTTGTCCAAAATGAGCAATTAATTCACCAGCTCTAATTTATGCTGCTTTGTTAATCATCACACTGCCAATTCCATAATCCTTCAATCTGATTCATATATGGTTGATTACTCCGTTGACTCAAGTTCTAGCTGTCATTATGCCTCGCTGTTAGATTCACTCCAACAACTAAATATGGTACCATTAATAGTATTGACAGTTTAAACTTACTGAACCATGAAAGTGCTGACCATGACAGGGAACTGCTGAAAGAACCCATGGATTTACCTTTAACAAGACTTTGCCTCCAATCAGCTGCAAAAATAAATATTTAAAGTTTGTTTCTACATTACTGTTCTTTTGAATTGTTGATTCTAACAGCTTTCAAAACGTAAAAGACCTTAACTCAACTCTGAACGATGAGATGCTTTTCTCTGGAGTAGCATTATGTGTAGATATTCATTTACGTGACACAATTCCTCAAAAAACACTCCAAAAATATGAAAGTGTTGTTAACAGGCACATGGTTGGTTCTCCACTATCCTTTCAAATAGGCTTTGGGATACATTGAGTATTGTTGCCTCCACACTGAGGGAAAAATATCAGGAATTGCTGGAAAAACATCAGAACTGTTCTGGAGAAGTGTTACTGGACCTGAAACGTTCACTCTGATTTCTCTCCGCAGACGCTGTCAGACCTGCTGAGTTTTTCCAGTAATTTCTGTTTTTGTTTCTCAGTTCCAGCATCTGCAGTTCTTTCGGCTTTCATTAAGGGAAGAATATGCTTCCTGAGATGAGGATCTGACAAAGCTTC